TTTTTTTTGGTATGGGTTACGTTATAAGAGGAAGTTTAGATACGTCCCACCAACTAAAAAACCAAGCACAACAAGAAAGCCAAGTACTACAAGAATAAGCACTACAGGTAGGGAAGAATAATTATAGCCGCACTAATGTCTAAATGGCAAAATTAATTGGATCATTTTTTCAGTTCCACCGAAAAGGAAATTGAATTGCTTGTTCATTGGCGATATGTACAACTTTGGAAAGCACTCCGATTCCTACGATTTGGTATATTTTTTACATTCCAAATATTTTAGTATTCAAATGAACCTAAATGTTGAAGGAAGCAGAGCTGCTTTATCGTGTGGGTTACGATGTTTTCAACACCCGAGTGGTAGACCCACAACTTGGACTCTGGGCGTACGGTTACACGAATTATCCCAAAGATGTGAATGACGCTTTGAAAAACATGAGTAAAAGTGATAAAGAGTTTGCCGAATTGCTACTGAGAATGGAATACGCTGAAATATCTGATTTCATCACAACCCAAAAGTAAGTTGACTCTTAGGAGGAAATTCATAGAATGAAAACAGATTTTTACAGAGCTATAGAGGCTATTAATGCAATGAATGAAAAGCAGCTAAACTGTTTGGTATTCTTCACTGCGCAGTGAGTTTTCATTTTACAGAATAAAAACCTAAATAAACTCCATGAAGTCTGCACGAGTTTTAAGCAGTCTGAGCGCATTTCAGAGTTAATACGAAGGAACTCCCAAAAATAAATCCTAAGAATGAGGCGATCAAGACGATCGTGGCAGTTGGCCTTAACGGTAAGTTTCCAATCAGAAAATAGTCTAACTACAGAATGATCTTAGAGTCGCGGCGGATCCTAGGTCATACAAACAATGCTCCGATATTCAAAGTCGTTTAAAATCGTCTAGTGCGAGAGACACGGCAAAAAGTGAAAAGTTTTATGCTAGGGAAGAAGCAAGAAAACCAACATATTTTGCAGGCTCGGTTTACCTCGTTTTCTGCAGGTACGGATCCGATTGACCTTGTTCCAGCGGGTGCTAAAGCGGTGTCTGTACCTTATCACTACCTTGACGAAGACGTGACTAAAATAGTTAGAGCTATTGTAGAGTGAGTAAACATGAAATGAAGCAAAAACTTTAGAAGGAGTGAGCAATTCGAAAAACTTTTCAGCGATAAACCATGGACAACAAGGGGTCCTACCACAACGGGGACAACAAGGGGTCCCACCACAACGAGGACAACAAGGAAGATTACGACGACAAAGCCAAGTACTTCTATTTCTCTGATATGATGCAACTTTTTTTTAACGGAAAGTCTATGACGGTTTTTCTTATGTACAAATCACGTTGTCTTTAAGCTATAGTCTATCAACGCCAAGTGCTTTACCTCATTCTTTTGATCTTACAGCATCCTGTCATTTGGATGATTTTTCAATTTTCAGAACCGCCCGAAGGTTTGAAATGTTTAGTAGTTGGCGACTTATACAACTTTGCAAAGGATGAAGAGAAATATATCGATGTGAGCTTACTGATTTAAATCGACAGGCAAACAAAAGTTCATCACATCTTTTGAGGAAGCAGAGTTTATATCTGCTCTTGGCTACGACTTTTACGGAACAAAAGAAATCAAACCAATGGCCGGACTATGGGCTTATGGATACACATCATTCCCAGAAGAGCCGGAAC